GACTAAAGAGTTACTTAAGAGAGGAGTAAATTACAGATGGTTAATACCAGAAGGTCTCATGTTCACCTGGCAGGAACAAAGACACAGAATTGACACAGTTGAAACAACTGAGCTATTCTATCTAGAATATTTTAGAGAAAAGGAGGAAGATACAAGAAAAAAAGAGTTGCTAATCGAATTTGAAGAGAGTGTATAACAGCAATTGAAAAAGAAGGAGCAACGAGCAATGAGAACCAAGATCTACTGGAGCAACAAATCCTTCTTATAAAGTCTAAAATGGATGAGAGAAAATAGATTATGATTAATATAAATGGTCTTAATTTAGCCACTAAAAGAAGAAAAGTATTCCATAAACTAGAGAAATTAAAGTTTTATATAATCCGCCTAGAAGAAGTACATATTAATAACAACATGAATATATATTGAAGCAACAAAAATTAGGGAAATTATTCACATCATTGACACAATGTAAAAAAAGAGGTGTAGCCTTATGCATTAGAGATACAATCCCTGCGGAACAAATTTATACAGATGATGATGGAAGGATTTTGATGGTGGAGATAATGGACAATAATGTAAAAACACTTTTAATAGCAATTTATGCTCCAAACAATAACCAAGAAGAATTCTACAGGAAATTACATATGAAAATAATTGAACTGGACTATGCTAATATTTGTATAATGGGAGATTTTAATGGAATAATTAATGATAAATTGGACTATAAAATACAGAAAACAACAAAGAAAATTAGAAAGACATTGCCAAAATCCTTCTTCCAAATGATATAAAGGAAACAAACTTAAAAGATGCATGGAGAGAGAGAAAAATGTGGAAAATAAAGAATATACTTTTTATTCAAATAGACATGCATCATGGTCTAGAAGAGATATGATATGGATGTCAACAGAATTGTTTTCTAACATACAAGAAATCAAAATAGGAACAAGTACTTGGGCAGATCACAATCCAATGACTGTTACATGGAAAGGACAAAAGAGGAGATCTAGATGGACTTTAAATAATAAGATATTAAAGGAAAAAGACTTTAAACAGAAAATTGAGAGAGAATTGGTTTTCCTTTTTAAAGAAAATAAAAAAGAGGATACATCTTTATAGAATCTCTGGGACAAGATGAAGGCCTACACAAGCGGTTTGATAATAGAATATACAAGAAAAAGAAATATAAAACAGAAAAAAAACTTTTAAAACACTGGAAGATGAATATAAGAGACTGGAAAAAGAGTTACAGAAATCTCCACAAAAAAGACATTAAAATTAAAATGGATATAACTAAACATAAAATGGGATTAATGGAAAAAGAGGAGTTAGCACAAAAAATTAAAAATGCTAAACAGAATTATTTCGAAGATGCAAACAAACCAGGCAGATGGTTAGCTTATAAATTGAGAAAGGAAAGAGAATCAAGAAGGATAAACCAACTAACAAATGAATAAGGACATGTCTGCTATGGAAATGAGGAAAAAAATTATACAAGATTACTATGGAAAATTGTATTATCAAGAGAATATTCAAGAAGAAAAAGTTAAGCAATATTTACAGAAGGTGAATTTACCCCAGATACCCAAAGACATTGAAATAATGTTAGAAGGGAACATAATGATGATGGAACTAACAGAAGCTTTAAAAAAAAAAAAAACATTGGAAAAGCACCAGGTCCAGATGGTTTGCCAGCGGAATTTTATAAGACATTTCAGGAAACACTGAATCTTCAATTACTAGAAGTTATGAATGAAGTTATGTCAAAGAAGAGAATACCCAAAACATGGTCAGAAGCATACATTACACTTATACCGAAGGAAGATAAAGACCCACAGCAAGTTAAAAACTACAGACCTATATCCCTATTAAACTCAGACTATAAAATCTTTGCTTCAATTTTGGCAGAAAGACTGAAAAGATATTTAAATAACTTTATTCATCCTGATCAAAACAGATTTCTGCCAAAGAAACAAACAAAAGATAATATGAGAATAATTCTGGATACTTTGGAATATTATGAGGCACATTCTGAAAAGCAAATGACTCTGATGTTTTTAGACATGCAGAAAGCCTTTGACAATGTGAGTTGGCGATTTATGTTACTACAACTGGAACAAATGGGCTTTGGTAAAAAATTTATTCAAGCCACAGAAATGATATATTATAAACAACTGCAAAGGTTATGATAAATGGAGAGTTAACAGATTCTATAGATATAAGAAAAGGGACTAGACAAGGCTGTCCACTGTCACCTCTGTTGTTTGTGTTGACATTGGAAGTGCTGAATAGGAACATTAGAGAAGAAAAAGAAATAAAAGGAATGAAAATTAAAAAGGAAGAGTACAAATTTCAAGCCTTTGCAGATGACCTGGTATTTATACTAGAAGACCCACTAGAAACAGCACCTAAATTAATAGAAAGAATAGAAGAATACGGAAAAGTAGCAGGTGTGAAAATAAATAAAGATAAAACAAAGAACATATTAGCAAGACAAAAGAGTTAGAGAAGTCTTGGAAATCCAGGTCACAAATAAGGTTAAGTATTTAGGGATATATATAACAGCAAGATGCAGTACACTGAAGGAGGATAACTATCTTAAACTCAAACAACAGATTGCGACAGATTTGATAAAATGGGAAAACTTGCAATTATCATTGATTGGGAGAATATCTACAATTAAGATGAATGTATTGCCTAGAATTTTATATTCATTCCAGACAATTCCAATCAGATTAGGGAAAGAGTTTTTTGAAGATCTAAATAAAATAGTGTTAAAATACATTTGGCAGGGAAAGAAAGCAAGAATAAAACTTAAACTGTTACAAGATGCAAGAATAAGAGGAGGGTTTGCCTTGCCCAATTGCGAGCTATATTACCAGGCGTCAAGTTTGATGTGGGTAAAGGAATAGATAACACTAAGGAACAGTAGATTATTGATTTTAGAAGGCCATGACTTGCTGTTGGGATGGCATGCCTTTCTCCAGTATAAGGGAACTAAAACACAGGGGTATTTTAGAAGACATTATATTCGAGAGGCATTGTTTTTAAACTGGGAGAAGATAAAAAAGCAACATTATTTTAAAATTCCATTATGGATGTCCACTATCGAAGCTTTTTCTTATCCAATAACATATAAAAAGGAACAAACAGTTAGATATGGTAAAATATTGAATGAAAAGGGTGAACTTAAATCTATACAAGCATTGGAAGGACAAGGTATAAAAATGAATTGGTTTTCGTATGCACAAATACAATCTAGATTTGACAAAGATCTTAAAACAGAAGGTTTCTCTGATAAGTTGACTGATTTAGATAAAATTTTGATGGGTACTGATGAAAAGGTAATTAAAAAACTCTATGGACATTTATTAGAATTTAAATTAGAGGAAGAACAAATTAAAGAACAATGATTGCTTGGGGGAAATTTTTGGGATATGGGATTGATTTAGAAAAATGGCAAAAATTGTGGTCTCAAAATTATAAAATGACAATGTCAACTGCTTATAAAGAAAATTTGTATGAGATGTTTTACAGGCAGCATCTACCCCCGACGAGAATTGCGAGAATGTTTAAGAACAAATTGGATAAATGTTGGAAATGTCATCAGATACCTGGTTCATATTACCATATGTGGTGGACACGTTCAGATGCAAAAAGATAAAATCCACACATGGTTGGAAAAAATGATAAAACAACACATAGACTTTAAACCAGAGATATTTTTACTAAGAATTACATTTGAAATTAGAGAACAAGAAGATAAACAATTTTATATAATATGGGACTTATTTTATCAATGGCTAGATAAAAAGACATGGCAATGAAATAGACTAAGTTTTGTAATAGAAGATCAACAGATTGATATATGCCCAAAATATATAACCTTTGGATAAATGTATAATATAAATTTATAATAAAATCTAGAATACCTCGTATAAAATGATGGAATAATAGTTTAGTCAAATGAATGATTAATAACTGATAAATATATAAGCATATGCTAGATTGACAATTTGGGAACCTATATAACTTGTGAGTAAAGACTATGAAAGAATAGCACAAAAGATTTGTAACCAACTGACACACTGTATGTATATAATTGGAAGATGGTTTTGTTTTTGTTTTTGTCTGTAGATGTTTGTCTTAAAAAATAAAAATCTTTAAATAAAAAAAGAAAAGGAAAAGAAGCTACAGTACTTATCATATTCCCCTCCCTAGGATTTTGTTTTCAACCAAACTTTATAGATTTCTGTATGTAACATAAATTATTTTAGTGGGCAATATTCCTGTACAAACCAAACTCTGAGGCAAGCGAGATATTGGGGAATTAATTCTGTATTATTTACTTTACCCTAAAAAAAAGATAGGGAATGTATGGTCCTTTAATTGTGGCTGGACTCTCCCAGCACTGTTCACCATTGGCTAGAGCTAATGATATTAGAAATTGTAGTTCAGGAACATCTGCAGAGCCACAGATTCTCCATTCTGTCCTAAAAAAATGATGAATCACATACACATGAACTCTCACAACATTTACTAGGGATCACAAATTTATAAGCTCCACATTTTAAAATTCCTGAACTTTAAAAAGGGAAATATTTTGGATCTTAGTGCTACAAATTCTGAACAGAAAAACTACATTCTTCAATTCTGCAGTATTTCTCTTTCTGACCCTTTGGTTTGCCTCTAATCGTGGGAGAGGAAAGAGGAAAGGCACTCAGTTTCCATTTCCAATTGTTTAAAATTGACACAGTCTCTCCTTAAAACTTGATTGGATAGATACAGGGGAATGGGGAAATGACTAGTCACAGCTCTTTTGAGCAGCTTTTGTTTACTAGAGCAAAGTATGAGCACCCTAACCCTAACCCATCCCTCTCCGAAGGTTGTTGTGCCCATTATCTTTCTATTACCAGTAATGATCAGCAAGACTCCCCCTGAATATACTGGTCATTGGAAGCAAAAGTCAACAGAATACTGTAAAGAGACAAGTTACATACCAAAATGTCCAAGCAAGCAGCCTTAAGTAGTGTGATCTGGTCTGCAATTCTCAAACTTGTGAAACCAGGCAATTGTTTAGCAAATTCCACTATTTTAATAATGCACTTTGTTGCAAGTTCACTGAATTTGTCCCAGAGCCCAAGGTCCAGACGAACTCTATGATCCGCACTAGAGTTCTAAAAAGAACAAAATGAATCAATTGCTGTGACAAAATGTAGTTGAAACAAAGACCCTCTGAAAGCAACTTATCTTAACAATTTCAGTATCAGTGAGATTTGTGGTTGAAATACTTTTTAAAAAAAATCTTGTCAAGTCTTTCCTTATATACTTGCTTTTGCTTAAGATTAAAGCTACAACTGTCCAATGGGTAAAATAAATAACAGCATTTCTAAAGGTTACAGATCTTCTTTTTCCATTAGGTCTACACTGAAATCCCACCCATTACTGTTAGAGCTGAGGAATTAATTATGTGTAATTAGAAGAATGGTTTCATGTGTGGGGGAAAACAGCTTTATTTTGCAGAGTATATTTTACATGCAATGTGACCTCTTTTCGCGTTTATATGTTCAGCAAATTAGTAGTTCAAGTTAGCCTTTCTTCTCTATAGCTCAAAAAGCTTTTAATATTATGAACAGAGAAGAACCATTTATTAGGCAGAAGAAAACAATGAGGAATTCCTTTTCCTTTCTCCCTGCCAAATATGGCATTTGATAATAATCTCTTCTACTCTGGGTCCAAAGTTCTTCATCTACAAACAGTTGTCCACTGAGAAAATATATGCTAGACCTTTACTTAGTACTATGCATATGTTGATACAAGTTGTACCAGTTGAATTTAAATCAAGGATGCATAAGAGAGGGAGAGCATAGTGGATGACACATATCCCCAAGTGGGTGAGGCTAGAATAAAAGCCAAGTCTGATTTATACACATTTATTGTAATGAAAATTAAATCAAGTAATCATAGTTACTAGAGTTATTCTTCAATATATTTTTCCATTTGATTAAAGTATACAATTTGACAGTAAGTTCTGAGAAGGGTCTAGCAGTTACCTCCAAAGCTATAGAAACTATATTGCCCTGGGTCTCAGTCTGTGTTATAAATGTTGAAAAATTGGGTAATATGCACAAGTAGCATCTTACGAAGAATATTACAGTTTTGTGATCTATCCAGATATTGTCGGCGCCTGCAAAATAAAAATAGCTTCCAAATTTGACTAAAGTCAATTAAAACAAAAATATTTTGTTTTTGAAAATGAATTATTATGGAAATGAACCTAACAGGAGTAAGGAGGACAGATACAACCAAACTGTTAGATCATAACTATATTCTCAAGGGTTGAAGACAGCATGGTCAGCAGGGACGGATGTTGGGATTGTTGTTCCCACATCTGCTCCTAAAGTACTGAGGTCAAGAAACTAAAATGCAGCAAAGAGATGCAGCAATTCCTAAAATGCAGCAAGAGATTCCTTTCTATCATCTCTCGCTCCATATAGAGTAGTGATCCTTTTTAGTACAAGGGACCAGGTTCGTGGAAGACAACTTTTCCACAGACTTTGGGGAGATGGTTTTGGTTTTGCTCACTTGGCTGCCATACATCTCCAATTGTGCAGCCCGGTTGCTAACAAGTCATGGACTGATATAGAGCATTAAATGCAGTGAAAGACTAAGAATGTCACAACTGCCCCTTAGAGACAGGACAGGATTAACACAGAAGTGCACCAATTACAAATACCTGAACAATAAAAATTGTGATCAGACAGGTTTGAAAGACTTGGAAAGATACAAATACAACTAACGATGAACCACAGTCTGAGACACAAGAACTATTTTAAAACAGAAAATTTATAAATTTATTTAATTCTGGTTATATATGAACTCTTTTTCTGTGTGTTTATTTTTCTATATTCCTTATCCTCGTCTTTTGACCATAACAATAAACTATATGTATTGCATTACACTAAAGTAAATTGAGAGAGAGTCCATGTCTGAGCTATCTCTTAGTTCTTTTTTTCCTCATTTTTAAACATAACCCAAACCATTTGTCATATTCAGGAAACATAAATGACACCTATGCAGAAGGTAAGATAAAATGGTACTAAATACTTCCACATTTCACTTCTACAGTTTCCTTCATATATTGTACAGAGAATTGAATTCCAATGTTGGATTTTATCTAGCAGACTGTATTCTAGAGGTACAACATTACATGGGGTGTGTGTGTGAGAGAGATAATAGGTTTTGTTTTGATGACTTGGTACATTCCCTTTTCAGGATTCTGCATTCTATAAAGATATACTTTATAACCTCAAGGACCTTGGTGAAATGCTGTACATGGGGGGGGCGGGTTGGAAGGGTGGGAGGTAAAATCAAGATGTGTAGTGATTTGGGCTGCTATTAAATACAATAGCCAATTTATATCCACTTTCCTAGAAAAACGGCAATGAAGATGTGAATAAAGCAGAGCCTAGAGCTTGAAATTTATTCCACAATAAGGCATCCATCTGAAAAAAAATTGCATGAAACCAGCTAGTGGGGATGAACTCTTCAGCAGTGGCTTCCCAGATCTCTTTATCATGCTTCCCTACCAGTCCTGCAAGAAAGTTAGATGCATCTATGTCTGAGCCAATGACTAGCTCTAACTAAGCATAAATATAATTTGACTATTATGCAAACTGAAAAGAAAAGACAGTGAATAAAGCACAAAATTACCTTGTTGCTTTTACTGCCCTGCTAAATCAGGAGAGACTCCAACTGAAAATTGTTAGTTGCATCATAACTATGTTTTTGCCCAACAACCCTATGAGGTGAGATGAGGTGAGAGAATGAGTAGTCCAAAGTTACCAGGCAGCTTTCATGACTAAGACAGAACTAGAATTATCAGTTTCTAGTTTGGTGCATTAACCATTAGACCAAACTAACTTTTCTTTACTGATTTGAACTTGCCCAATGAAACACACTGAGGTTTACATTAAGAGGAGATACAGATTTCTGAATCTGTAAGCCAAGCCTGAGCAACCTTTTTTAAACTGTCCAATGACCTGCTGGGAATAGAATAATCAGTAGGGCTGAAACAAGACACAAGTAGGGTCAGAGCCAAAAGACAGTACATCCATTCTTTGAGAACTTTCTGTCTCATTTTCTTTTGAATCAGACCATGATCCCATGTTATGTGGCATGTAAGATCCTGACTTCCAGACTCCCATAAGGAAAAAAGGCAAATAATGATGATAGGAGATTCAATTTTAGGGGATAATAATAAATAAATAATAAAATAAAAATTAATAAATAAGACCAATCTTATTTCATTCTTTGACAAAGTGACTAAATTAGTAGAGCAGCAAAATGCTGTGGATATTACATACTTAGACTTCAAGCAAAGCTTCAACAAAGAAGACCACAACCTATTTCTTGGTAAACTAGAAAAATGTGGGATAGACAGCAACACCATCAAATGGATTAATGATTAATGGTACTACATCTACATGAAGGGAAGTAAGCAGTGGGGTACCATAAGGTTCCATTTTTGGCCCAGTACTCTTCAATATCTTCATAAACTACTTAGATGAGGGAATAGAAGAAGTCATAAAATTTGCAGATGGCTGGCAGGACAACCCATAAGACAAGCTCAGGATCCAAAAAATCTTGACAGACTTGAACAATGTACCCTATCCAACAACATGAAATTTAATGCAGAGAAAAGCAAGGTTTTACCCTTAGGCAGGAAAAACCAAAGGTACAAGTACAGATTAGGCAAAACCCAGCTAAAGAAACAGTAACAGTAAGCGGGTCCCTGAAGACCTAGTGGATAATCACTTAAACACATGAGCCAGCAGTGTATGGCAGCAGCAAAAAAGCTCATACAAATCCTTGATTGAATAAACAGAAGCACAGAATCAAAGTCACATAAAGCATTAGTACTGTTTATAAATTCTTTGTAAGACCACACCTAAAATACTTTATCAGTTTTGGTAACCACTTTATAAAACCATCTGTATAAAACCATGTTTGGTCACCATTTTATAAACCATCTTTATAAAAAAGATGTTGAGAATTTAGAAAAAATGCAAAGCGCAACTAAGATGATTAAAAGCCTGGAGACGAAAACATACAAAGAATGGATATGTCTAGTCTAGAGAAAAAGCCTAGGGATGACATATAGCAGTATTCCAATATTTAAAGGGCTGCAGCAAAGAAGAGGAGGTCAACTTATTTTCCAAAGCACCAGAAGGCAAAACAAGCAACAATGGATGGAAACTAATCAAGGAGAGAAGCAATCTGGAATTAAGGAGAAACTTCCTAACAGCGAGGACAAATAACCAGTGGAATAGCTTTTCTTGAGACATTGTAGATGCTTCACCACTGGAGAACTTTAAGAAAAGACTGGACAGCCATCTGTCTGAAATGGTATAGGGTCTCCTGCTTGAGTAAATGGTTGGCTTAGAAGACCTCTAAGGTTCCTTCCAATTCTATCAGCTTTGTACATGCTAGTAAGCCGGGTTAATTTGCCAATATGGGGGCAAAGATAGGCATGTGGGAGAGTTGTAGCACCCTTGAAATGTAAGTGTGAGCTGACTGCAAAGCACCTCAAATTTTATCATGTGTGCAAAGGCACTGCAATAGTCTTAATTTTAGACAAAGGTCTTAAGTCCCTTCATTCAGTACTGTCATAATTTAGAGCAGTTACTGAATGAATGGTCATAAGTCAAGGACTATCTGTACATCAAACTGGACTTCTGAAATTCATCTTTTTTGTGACAACTAATCACAGACCACAATCCATTAGAGAAACAGGTGTGCTTCTCAACTGTTTTTTCAAACATACACCCCACCTTATTAGAGAAAGACGAGGCTGGTAAGTCAAAAAAGAAGCTTCAAGATGCTAGAAAAGATCTGGTTCCCCTATGAGATTCCGACTCCCACAGTTGAATCAGACAGAGAAAACAAAACCTAATAAAAACTCACAAAACACTGATGCTCGTGTACAAATCGGGTGAAACAATGTTCACATTTGTGATGTTCAGTTGCCTTTTGAAAATAAATAAATAACATATTTCACTTATAGAACCATATTTCTTGTGAGTATATGTAACATGCATAAAGAGATTCAATCCTTTCAGAACCAATACTTTCCTCCAAGCAGCTAATCATCAAAGAGAAATATCAAAATATCCCTTTTGAACAAAGACTGGATTCATCTGTGGAGGAATAATTGAAATGATGGAATATGTTATTTCATATTGTTCTGTCTATGGAGGTGCTCACCATGCATAATGATGTCCATTTTTCACTAAACATCCTGACTCATTCTATCTTGTGTTATTACTATCTTAAAAGTCTGATTTCATTTTATTGTCCACAGCTAAGTATTGATCTATAGCAGTGTTGGCGAACCCTTCTGACACCGAGTGCCAAAACGGAAGTGCATACGCAGGGGAGCGTGGTAAACTGGAAGAGCAGCTCCCCAGCTCGTATGTGTGTGCTGGGAAGCTGATCTTCCAGTTTCCAGCGTACATGCCTGCCAGCCACCTGATCTTCCAGTTTCTGGCATGCATGCACATGGGAAGACCAGCTAGCTGGTGCGCATGCACATGCCAGAACCCAAAAGAGCAACAGGAGATGGCTGGCATGCCTGGAGAGATGGCTCTGCATGCCATTTCTGGCACGCATGCCATAGGTTCGCCATCACAGGTCTACAGATTGTACAGTACACCTAAGCACCTCTTCCAAATTTTTCTTAAATATTTTAGAAGGTTGTGTGTTTTTCTTTTTATCTTAATTAACTGTGATTTTTTTTGTTTTATTTGCTAGTTACCAAATAAAAATTAATTAATTGATTCCTATTTTCTTCCTAGTTCTTACTTGCTCAAGATTTTGATCTTCAATTCTTACCTTGTTTGACTCCCAGTATTTATTTCATTTTATCCTCTTGAACGGACTTGATTATATAGTATCCTACTCTGCTACTAACTTTTAGCAGTCTGGCAAAATACCTATAATACCGTGTTTCTTCAAAAAGAAGGCCGGGTCTTATTTTCTTTTGACCTCCCCCCAAAACAGCTAGGCCTTTTTTTTGGAGGTTCCTAATTATTGACTCACTTCATGGCAATTGCACTGATAGCCCCGCCCAGCAGAAGCCTGCTGTTGGCTAACTTTTCTGTAGCCCTTGCCGCTACTCACACGCACTGCCCCAGCCTCTGTTTCGCCTTCAGATGCCTTCTGGAAGCCCTCTGCAGCCGATAATGAGTTCTGCAAATGCCATCCGGAAAGCTCTCTGCGGCCCATAACAGAGCTCCGGATTGATCCGGAGCTCTGTTATCGGCTGCAAATGCCTTCCAGAAAGCCCTCTGCAGCTGATAATAGAGTATCAATCCAGAGCTCTATTATCGGGTGCAGAGGGCTTTCCGGAAGGCATCTGAGACCAGGGAGATGCATGCGAGTGGTGGCAATGAAGATGTGGGCCAGCAGCCGGCTCCTGCTGGACGGGGCTGTCAATGGCACTACCGCAAGGTGAGTCAATAATCTGAAGATGAAACAGAGGGCAGGGCTATGTGTTTGAGTGGCAGCAAGCGGCCGCAGAAGGCGAGACAGATGTCAGAGTGTGCGAGGCCTGGTAAGTAGGGCAGTTCCACACCCCCATCCCCACTCTAGCTTATTTTTTTCCTATGTGCTTCACCCCACCCCATGCACCCTGGGGTGGGCAGGGTCTTAATTAGGGCTAATTTTGTGGATGGGGCTTAATTTAATCACATATGCTCAAAACATGATAGGGCTTCTTTACAAGGTTTGTTTTTTTGGAGAAACACGGGGTATGTATATATAATATTGTATATTGAAAGTGTATTACTAACTTCAATTATGGGTACGTATACATATTCTTATTGGGAAATTCGCTACTTTGTTATTTATCCACTGGACACTGAATTATACTTTGCAGCTCAACACCTAAATTTTTACTTTTCTTCCTTACATTTCCACTTTAAAAATGGTATTTCTTTTATCAAAAGGATGTACAACCCATCCAGATTAATTATTTTTTTACCATTTTCCAGTAAAATGAAATAAAACCATGGAAATTTCCTATTTCCACTCTAACAATATGCTATACCCAAGAGATACTTTTGTTTAACTGATTTACTATTATCAATTGCAAAAATTTGTTTACAAGTACAAATTTGTTCTATTTATTTTTGGTCCATCAACTAAATACTATTGTTCAGTTATTTACTGGATTATCCAAGATAGATCAGTGTTGGGTAAAAGGATTCTATTTTAATGCATGTGATTGTACTAAAATAGCCAGAGTTTTTATAGAGCAATTAATTTCTCTAATTCTGAGATCCCATCTAATCTTCCAGTCCTCATAATAAAATGAAATGAAATGAAACAAACATAACATGACATAAAAGTTTATAATAGCTGTTACCGTTGTATATTTGCCTAGCTGGCAGAGTGAAGGGAATGTTTCCTGGTGAGATTTTCTGATTTTCTCAGTGAGATCATCCAGTTCTGCTGTCATTTCATAATTCTCCAAGAGCTCTTGCTTTAAAGTCTCCTTTTTCTTTTTGTTCCTGTCATTTCTGACAGCTGGAGGCAGGGAAAAGCAATTCAAATTTGGTTATTTAATTATCTAAATTTGGTTATTTGATTACCTAAATTCAACAGATCTTGAATAAGTATTACACATGCCAAACATAGAGAGAACACAGAGAGGAAATTAGTAATTTAATAGCTTATTTTTAAAAGTGTCCATTAGATTACAGTTAGTTTTTGACTTATTTAAGTTATGGCTAAACAAAAAGACTGGTGCCAAAATTACTGCCACTGGAGTGCTGCTACAATCTCATGATCAAAATCCAGACACTTGATACCCTGCCCACATTCACGACTCCAAGGGTGCTTCAAGTCCCCCAACCTGTTTGTTTTTTCCCCATCTTTGCCTTTGGGGCACCTTCCACTATATAGTTCCTGCTGTCCTAACTGCCTATTTCAGATTCTTCCTCTGTGTGTTGATCAAGTATGCCTTTGTGAGACATACTGGCCATAAAAAGTTTTCTTCCCAGGATCGCACAGAGTGAAGTTTTTCTTCTTCTTTCTCCATACATCAAAAGTTCTGCTTTGCCACAATCTGAAAATAAGCTATATTTTGTCTCTCTCTATTCCACCTGGAAATAGACTCCTTTTTGACAGAAACTACTCTATCCTAGAGTCTTCCTGGGTGTCAACTCCCCAAATTCCCAGTGAGCATGTACTGTACATTGGACAAAAGATTGAAAAAGTTTCTATAAATATGATACTATACCCCAGATAGCTACCTTCAAATCCCATTTCACTATTATGCTTACTTATATTTCCATTTGTATATTGGATTATATTTCTTGGAGACCATTTATGAACATATTAACATCAGAACATCAACGTTTGTGATACTTCTGAGACAAAGGTTAATTGGCTAAGTGCTTCTGTAGAAAAACATTCTATGCCTCAAGTGGACTGAAAATATGCTAAGGAATCATTGAATCAGTCAACTAAAGGTTTGCAATAGAGTAGATACTACATGTATTTAAACTTTTCAGGGAAGATAATATCAACAGTGTCTGTATATATTGCATGAATGAAGAATGATGTATCGTAAAGAAATTATTTATAAACAAATAATATATAAAAATCTGCCCTGTACATTTTACAAACTAACATTTGGTATGATGGTAATCATAGAAGAATCGACAATATCAATAAGCAGCCATGAGTCCTGTGGTGTCAATTGTCTATTTCAAATCTATACTCATATAGAAAAGGAGTGGGAAGTTCTTTCAAATTTCACTAATACTATTGGGAATGTTCAAAGTTCTTCCAAAAAATATTCTATATGTTTTGCTGACAAAATTTGTAATTAATTAATCTTTAATGAAGTTTATTGTGACTGGAAAGAACATTTAAAGCATATGGTTAAGTTCATGCTTTGTAAGACCTGCAGTAATGCATCAATTTAACAGACACATTTTCTTTCTCTCCTTCCACTGTTAGGTCAATGCTATCACTTGGCACACTTAGGCAGATACTGACAAGACAAGCTTGTCGTGGGCTGGAAACTGGTTAAGTTCAAATAAGAATATACTGTTTTCATTATGAGCGCTGCTAGCAACCTAGCATTTGGGGGCAGCAGATACTGAACAAAAGTTTAATAGCATGTGCCATTCCTTATACATAATTAAAATCAAAAACAGCTACATCTCACAGCTTCAAAACACTGAACTAATGCTCCTAATAGTATTTAGTTTACAAACTCAAAAATCTTTTGGGTTCACCAATATTATAGGAAGATGTAGGCAGCTGATCACTTACATTAATATTCTTTTCATAAGCAGAGTAATCAGATTTTTTTAATTTTTTTTATTTGGTTTAATCAGATTTTTTTAATTTTTTTTATTTGGTTTGTCAATTGTTTACAGGATAACAGGTATAAGTAAAAACATACCGTATATAATCGAGTATAAGTCGACCCGAATATAAGCCGAGGCACCTAATTTTACCACAAAAAACTGGGAAAACTTATTGACTCGAGTATAAGCCTAGGGTGGGAAATACAGCAGCTACTGGTAAATTTCAAAAATAAAAATAGATACCAATAAAATTACATTAATTGAGGCATCAGTAGGTTAAACTAAAAAGGCATGTTGCTTTCATTAGTGTCAAGATGGCATGAATTAACATGGCATAAATACTCAATTGCAAGTTAACTTCATTCACTCTTGGCATTAAAAAATGCCACGGGGAGGGAATTATTATCTAATTAAAACTTTCACTAGGACAGTTGAGAATAAGTTTGATGTTCACAATTTCCTCTTTGAAAGAGACCAGTAAATAGTGAACAAGAAGATGAAGAAAAAGAAGTGTGTTTTTTCACACTTTTCACACTGCAGTGAACAAAAATGGCATCATAGGAACATGCTTATTCTCAGTCCAAAGGTTTGTTTCTGATTTCTTCCCTGATTTAAGGGAAATTTGGGAAACGATCTCACTATCATGAAAGTCAGTGTTCTCTGCCTGTGGGGCGTTTGGAAGAAAATGCCCCGTGACATATCCACGCGCATGTAAGGGGAATCAGAAATCCCCGCGTTCAACGCCTAGCACGGCAGAAGAGAAAACACAGCTGTGAGCAAATACTGGGAAAACCTGATTGATCAAAAGGAAGGAGGCAAAAGAGGGAGGAGTGGTGGTGGACGGAGGTCCCACTGGTATTTGTGAAACACTCGATCGGCAGTGCTTAAAGTCAACGTCCTCGCTCCCACCCACCCACCCACCCAAAGCCACAAAGTCCCCCAATCGCGCAGCCCAGAATCGCCCTCCCCTCAGGGGGCAGCAACCATGCCCAGCGTTTCCCGAGACAAGAAGCTCCACCATGCAATGAAAGTGCCCTGGCTCTAGGCTTGCGGGCTCAGAAAACAACGCAAGCCGAGGTGGCTTCGTTTCCTCAGCCCCAGCTGCTTTCAGTCCACTCAGGAGGAGAAGGAGGTGGTGGTGGTGGCTCGCGTTGTTTTCTGAGCCCGCACGCCTAGAGCCAGGGCGCTTTCATTGCACAGTGAAGCTTCTTGTCTCAGGAAACGCCGGGCATCGTTGCTGCCCCCTGAGGGAAGGGCGATTCTGGGCTGTGCGATTGGGGGACTTCGTGGCTTTGGGTGGGTGGGTGGGACGGAGCGAGGATGGACGGAGTCCGCAAAGTGGGGCTTGCCTGTCCTTGCTGGCTGCCTCTACTTCCTTAGGGGCGGGGAAGGGGGCTCATCTGGACCAAGGGTGAGTCTCCCCCTCAGTTTCCCCTGAAGGATCTTCCGTCACTTTTGCCTTCTCCCTACGTCTTCCCTCTGTTAAAATCCCCACACACACACACACACTTATTTTCGGGCGGATAGATTTCGTGTCTGAGCATTCTCACATGATGGTGGGTTTTTTCAGAGGGGAATCTGTCACTCGAGTATAAGCCAAGGGGGGTGTTTTCAGCACAAAAAATGTGCTGAAAACTCGGCTTATACTCGAGTATATACGGTAGTTATGAATACATGGATACATATAAGAAAAATAAAAGAAACAATAGGACAGGGACAGTAGGCACGTTGGTGCACTTATGCACGCCCCTACAGACCTCTTAGGAAAGGGGTGAGGTCTCCATAGTAGCCCCTTTACTTGGTGACTGGACAATGTTGTTAGGATCCCATTATATTTCCCAAAAATGAAACTTTCAAACACAAAAATCCAGAGAAACCGCCAATGGGCATGTGGAATTAGTCTTAGTTAATAGTACTCGTCTCATTTGCAGTTGTATTTGCTGGAGTTCTTTTTTGTGCCAGCAACTTCATTGTCACAGAAGAAAGGATATTTCTCACACAACCGAGGGATTCTCACTTTCTTGTATTAATTTTTGCATCTTTCTTGAATGTGCAACAGATAATAAGTTAGCTACTAGGCTAACTTCCATGTATATCAGTCTGACAGAGAAGTAAAGAGGCATCTGGTGTCCTCTGAGCTTGATAGTTTTCTTGCAGATGTTTCATTATCCAAACTAGGCAATATCATAGGCAACATCACTGATAACACTAGCATTGATGTTATCTAATTTGAGTAATGAAACATCTGCAAGAAAGCTATGCAACAAATCTGCAGAAAACATCTGCAACAAATTCAGATAGCACTAAGGCCCCTAAGCTACAAATATTCTCCTATAGAATAGAGATAATTCTAGGGAAGCAAAAAGTTGCTTTTAATCATCTTCCAATGCAATACAACAAATTTTTTTTGCAAAGCTCTACTTGCCTAAATACACAAGTACTGACTAAAATGCTTTGCTCAGCCTAAGTTCTCATCGGCCACTTAACAGCTTTGAGTGAATGTGAATGTCTTATTTCAGAAAATTTTAGGAGAAGCTGCCAAATGCAAAAGCTACAAGATGACTCACATATCAAGGACTTTTCTTTCCCTTTGTTCTTTTTCTGATACTCAAAATTAATTACTTTTTTGCCATATAGTTTATATTCTCCTGAGAAAAAATATTATAGGGAACATAAATTAAGAGAAGTATTATTCATCTTTTATATGTAACTAAATTATTAGGAGAGCCATTTTAGTAGTTAAGACACCAGGCTAGAAATATAGAAACCTTGAATTCTAGGCCCACCTTAGGCATAAAGCCAGCTGGGTAACCTTGGATGATTCAATTTATTTCAGCCATAGGAAGGAGGCAATCGCAAACTACTTCTGAAAGTCTGCCAAGAAAACTGCAGGAACTCGTCTAAGCAGTCTCCTGAGAACTGGCCACAATTGAAGAAAAAAATTATCAGATGCAATTTTCTTGAAAAATGTTTACATTTTTAGTATTAATCAAGCTTAAGGTTGCAATCCTATATAATGAAAAGTAGTGTTTCATTTTAGGCAGACTTGACCAGGATTGCACTGTTTAATATGCTGCACAGCTGGAGAGAAGAAGGTGATGCTTTTTGCTAAATAGTAAAGAATTTGTACATATTTAGGAATATAATTAATTAGGTGCACACTTAATAATTAAGAATCTTAGAACCAGAAAATTAAGTAAATAA